AACTGCTGGCTGCTTCCAGTAGACACGATGCTCATTCTAGCCTCAATGCCTTTGCTTATTTGGTCATCGCCTTCTGGAGTGTTTCCCCCACCCTTCAATCTCCCTGTTTACCTGGGCAAATCTCACTCATCCTTTAAGACTCAACTTAAGAGGCATCTCCCTCAGAGAGGCTTCTCTGAAGTTCTCTGAGAATTCAGCCCACTCCTTTGAGAAAGAAGGTTAGGTGTCCCACCTCTGTGCTCCTATCATATCGTGAGCATACTCCTCACGGGATTTACCAGCCCGCATCATAGTTTTCTGTATATATATATCCGCCTCTCCAATTAGACTGAAAATTTGGTGGTAGTGGGATGCATCTTATATCTTTTTGTATTCCTAGGACCTAACTGGATTCCCAACTCATAAGTGCTAACTTAAAAATGCTTAGTTGGAGAAAGGAAAGGAAGGAAGGACTTAAATAGTGAATAAATCAATCTGTTAGAAAGATAACATTAGGGCTGGCCCCCTGGCTTAGCGGTTAAGTGTGCGCGCTCCACTGCTGGTAGCCCGGGTTCGGATCCCGGGCGCACACCGATGCACCGCTTCTCCGGCCATGCTGAGGCCGCGTCCCACGTACAGCAACTAGAAGGATGTGCAGCTATGACATACGACTATCTACTGGGGCTTTGGGGGGAAATAAATAAATAAATAAATAAAAATCTTATAAAAAAGATAACATTAGCAGCAATATGAAAGACAGAAGGTATTTTTCAGGACTCTTACTGTGAGTGATGGAAACACAACTGAAATTGGTTTAATAAGAAAAGAGACTATTGCTATATAACAATGAAAGTCAACGAATTAGGTAGGGCAAAGCTAGATTCAGGTGGTCAAACAAGGTCCCCAATAATCCTGTCTGTGTAGGCCACGTCTGTGCTTTCCTCTGTGACGGCACCATGCTCCGGCAGGCTCTCACCAAGTAATGGCAAGACTCCAAGTCTCCATCTTACCAGTTTAGCAATCTCAGGAAGGAGCAAGAGCATCTCAATTCCCTTTGTTCCTGCACGAGTGGTATTGTCTCTGAATTGGCCAATATTAAGTCATTGGCTCCACTCTGAACCCATATTGGCCTGGGCAAGGACACAGGCAGGAATGAGGGACCAACAAGGCCTTAGAGTCACAAACTCCCCCTCTTGAGTTCAAAATTGAAGTCATCTCACCTTAAACATGTGGACTGATAAAGGCAGAGGTGAGGATTTGCAAAGGCAATGCAGGGTTGTATTTTAAGAAGAAGGTGGAAAGGTGGGTGACAGACAGGTAGAAAGAGTAGTTGTAGCAGAGACTGGAAGGGAAAGTTAACTCTGATGCTCAACTGAGAGCTCTTAGACAGAGGGATGGGAGATGTTAGAATCCAGTAACATATTCTGTCATCTTTATTTTCTCCCTTCAGAGCAGAACCATTAAACACCAAAATAAAGCCATTAGGAAATGGGAGGGAAGGGAGTGGTAGTTATGTCAGGAAAGCTCTCAAAGCAAGGCAATATAAAGCAGAGCCACACCACTCATCCTTTTTGTTTGCTTGTTTTGGTGAAGACGATTGGCCTTAAGCTAACATCCGTGCCAATCCTCCTCTATTTTGTATGTGGGAGGTGGCTGCAGCATGGCTTGATGAATGGTGTATAGGTCTGGGCCCGGGATCCAAACCTGCGAACCCCAGGCTGTGGAAGCAGAGCATGCACACTTAACCACTACACCACCAGGCCACCCACCATGCCACTCATTCTTGCCAGCAAATTAGCAAGGTCAGTGCTCCACATGGAACAGCGACCCTAGATTTTGCAGGTATATTACATTGTACTAGTCAAATCTGAAAGATACAATAAAAATTATAGGGTAGAATGGAATTTAGTAAACTGAGCTTCTATTTTAGAGACAATTTCATTGGTTGGTGATTGCATAGGTTTACATCTTGTGCATATAAAAGTGGCATTTGGCATATGTTAAAACAGGAAGCAATTTGTTTATCATGGTGGGCTTCATAACATTGGTGCTTTTAAAATTTTCTGAAACTTAGCACGTGGCTGTCATGAATTAAATAATGAAAAGTGGTACATTATGAAAGGAAAAAAATCCTTTCTACTTCCTCCCTGAAAGCAAATGATTTTGATTAAACAAGTTCTAGGAGTCACGTTATAGATAATTCTACAAATAATGGATTCTTTCTTGACATGCTTCTTCATTTTGGTTGATTCCATAGATAAGTTGAAGTCATACTCTTCAGCAGTATTCACTCACGTCAGTACTTTGGGTTGGGTCTGGGAATCATTACAGCTAATCCTTTTTATTGTGTGGGCAGCCAGTTGTTAATGCCCAAGGCAGAGAGAGAGTCACTTCTTAAATATTTTCCCATAAATGAATTGCAGATAATTTTACTCATATTCCCATTTCTCATGGGAAGTCATCGAAACTAAAACTTCAAATGAACAATGAATTTTTTTATTTTTTGAATTTTTTGTTTATTGCAATAACATTGGTTTTTAACGTTGTATAAATTTCAGGTGTACATCATTATACTTCTATTTCTTCATAGATTACATCATGTTCACCACTCAAATACTAATTACAACCCATCAACACACACATGTGCCGAATTATCCCTTTCGCCCTCCTCCCTCCCCCCTTTCCCTCTGGTAACCACCAATCCAATCTCTGTCTCTACGTGTTTGTTAATTGTTGTTATTATCTACAACTTAATGAAGGAAATCATACGGTATTTGACCTTCTCCCTCTGACTTATTTCACTTTGCATAATACCCTCAATGTTCATCCATGTTGTCACAAATGGCTGGATTTCATTGTTTCTGATGGCTGAGTAGTATTCCATTGTGTATATATACCTCAAAAAATCAAGGATAGAACTACCATATGATCCAGCTATTCCACTGCTGGGTATTTATCCAAAGAACTTGAAAACACCAATGCATAAAGATACATGTACCCCTGTGTTCATTGCTGCGTTATTCACAATAGCCAAGACTTGGAAGCAACCTAGGTGTGCCCATCAAGGGACGAATGAACAATGAATTTTTAAAATCTGTTTTAAGGTCCCCAAAGAATACAGATGCACCCTCCTTTCAAAATTCCTGATGCTGAAAAGTTTAAAAAATGTTTCTTTGAAAATACTTCTTTTTCTGTTTACATCAGGATTCACCGTAGAGTGTTTCTGTTTACGTAAGTGTCTTAATCAGTTCCGGCTGCAATAAGAAAATACCATGCGCTGGGTGATTTAAATAACAAATATTTATTTCTCACAGTTCTAGAGGCTAGAAACTCCAAGATCAAGGTGTCTGCACATTCAGTATCTGGTGAGAATCGTCTTCCCGGTTTGCAGATAGTCGCCTTCTTATCGTGTCCTCACATGGCAGAGAGAGAGAACAAGGTCTCTGGGTGTCTCCTTCTTATAGAGGCATTAATCCCATTATGAGGACCCCCCTCATGACCTCACGGAAACCTAACTGTATCCCAAGGACCCCATCTCCTAATACCATTACAATGGGGCATAGGCTTCCAATATAGGAATTTTTGGAGGACACAAACATTTAGTCCATAACTATAAGGTTGTAAAACACCACTTCTATTTTGTATATTTAACAAATATTTATATAGCACTTAAAATGTGCTGCTGTTTTACAAATGTTAACACATTTAATACGAATAACAACCCTGTGAGGCAGGCACTATTATTAGCTCTCTTTTACAGAGGAAAAACAAGAGCAGAGAGAGATTAAATAAATTGCCCATGGTCAGATGGTCACGTGGCAAGTAAGTGTGTAGCTGAGATTGCAGTCCTGACAGCTTTATGGAACTCTCTCTGTTCCTGAGGTATCTTGTTCTTAAGGCAGGCCCACCTCCTCTGCTCCCCAGCCCTTCTCTCAGCACTGGCAGAATATCTCACACCTCTGTGAGGGCTGCATCTACCCTGGAGAATCAATGTAAACCATCTACAGTTTAATCCAAAAAGGGCTATTCAAACTGATGGTGGAAAGTGAATTACCCAGTGAGAAGGCTTCAGCTACACAGACTTTGAAATGTTTTATTGCCATTCTTAGAACTAAAGTAGGTTGGTAGTTATTTCTGAAGAGAGAATCAATTCCAGGGGGCAGGCAAATTCAGACGACATGGAGTAGAAAATACCAGTAATCTAGTATTTACATATTTCAAAAAACACTGCTGTTTGCTGCTTAGAGGAGTAAAGGCGAGAGTTGCTAGGTACCGGCTTTCTGGTGGCTATGATTCTTTCTGTCCATGGACAGTACTAGAACAGGTGGACCTCCTCAGGCCAACACAGCCTCTCACAGTTCCCTAATGATCACCATGAATGAAAACACAGCCTCTTATACTTGGAGCTCCAGGAATCACTAGAGTTTGGAAAATCTCAGAATTTCAAGGAGAGTTTGAACACTGTGGATATGAGATTACAACACTATGTCCTAAAATAAACACTAAATTAACCGGTGGCAATGGTCTGTCCCCTCACCCTACCCCCGTGTCCCGGCGCGGAAAAACAGGGCACTAAGTGTGATTTATTTGAGATCATAAAACACTAGGAACAAGACACACGTTCTTACGTGTAATCCGAGATGACAGATGTATTTTTAAAGAGTGAGTTTATTTCAGAAATGAACAAAAGCTGCAAAACCCAAATTAAAAAGAACTTGGATACATAGATAAGAGAAGCTACTATTCTCGCCTCAACTTTTCCAGTCTCAGCAACTGAAGCGTCTTTAGAAGTAACTTTCTCCCTTAAAGATGTGGGGCAGTCCCTACATAAGTCTAACGGGTCTGACCCTCCCCACCCCGCGACCAGGGGTCACTCAGCGCCCACGGTCCCCACTCCCAGGCGGCAGCTCCAGCGTGGCTGCGACTCACTCCCTCTTTGGGGATTTGAGGACGGAAGTGAACAGAGAACTCCGAGTCCGCGGAGTTACAGTCACGCGGGAGGCGACACGCTGGGTGGTGGCACCGGCGGGTCCCCCCACCCCGCTCCACCCGGGGCGGGGCCGCGCTTCCTTCCGCGCCCGGGAGAGACCTGCAGGTCCGGGAATTTCCCTGGCCCGGGGCTGTGAGCTTTCCCGCCCCGACCATGGATAAAAGGGGTGCTCCCGTCTCGGGGAGCCACAGAGCTCGCTCCGCCAGCAATCCCGCCGGCCCTCCCGCTCCAGGCACCGCCGCCCCGACCCTCCGAGCTGAGCCCCATGGCCCGCGCCGCCGCCGCCGCCGCCTCCCGCGCTCCCCGGCTCCTCCGGGCCGCGCTGCTGCTCCTGCTCCTGGTCGCCGCCGCCCGGCGCGCAGCAGGTGCCACTCGGCGCCCCGGGGTCCCAGGGGCGGGACCGGGGTCGGGTGGGCCCACTGGGGGACAGCCCCGCTAACCGAGTCCGTTCTCCCCGCAGGCGCGCCCGTGGTCTCTGAACTGCGCTGCCAGTGCCTGCAGACCATGCAGGGGGTTCACCTCAAGAACATCCAGAGTGTGAAGGTGACGTCCCCAGGCTCCCACTGCGCCCAAACCGAAGTCATGTAAGTGCCGCCGCGCGCCCCCGCTGCTACAGTCCTTGTCACCCCCACCGTCCCAATGTCCCCCACCCTGACCCCCAGCCCGACCATCTGCCTCATGTCGATTCTCCCTTCTCTCTGCAGAGCCACTCTCAAGAATGGACAGAAAGCATGTCTGAACCCCGAAGCCCCCATGGTTAAGAAAATCATCGCTAGGATCCTAACCACGTAAGTTATGGTTTTTATTCACATGTGTGACTAGAGCCATTGGTCACAAATACTGGCATCTGCCTCCTGAAAATTGTATCAGAGAAACCCAGGGTCTAGCTGAAGGACTGAAAATCATTATTTTACGATTAACTTTGCTGTTAACGTTATTAATCTGCTCTGGTGCCAGAAGGGTATTTCCAGTGCCCTCTATCCCCATCTCCCTCTCCATCTCCATTGAAATGAGTGTGGGTAAATGTGTTTTTCTGAAAGATTAAGTAGATTTAGCCAATGATGCTAAAATGCCTGCTACCCATTAAGGAACAACCATGTTTACCTCAGTCCCTAATGGGCTTCAGACTTGAAAAGTGGGACTCGTGGTTTCGGGCAACATGGGCCTCTAAATCTTAGTGCTGAAGAGCAGGAACTTTGCAGTGAGACCTCCCTGAGTTCGAGTCTAGGATCCCTGTGAAAGTTTTTAATCCCTTTGAACCTTAGCAAAATGGGGTAGATAATAGTAGCTATTCCATGTATTTGTTATATGAGGCTTTAAGTGAGGTGATGCATGTAAATTTTTAACCCAGCATGATAGTCAGGGAGCTTTCAAGCCAATAATAGATTTGATTCCACAGCCCCGCTTTTCCTCAATAGAAGAGCAAGCTCTCTGCTGTACAGGGCAGTAGGTAGAGCGGGTCCTTCTCTGGGTGCAGGGCTGGGCCAAGGGTCTGCGTGCTGAAATCCCTCCAGCCTCCGAGGCCAGCGTGAGAGAAGAGCAGCTTTCCTCAGCACCTGTAACAGTAACCCTTTTCTCATCATAGGGGCAAAACCAACTGACCTTGAGAGAAATAAGAAGCTCTTTGGTGGCAGTTCCTGAAAGGTGGTCCCTGCCCTTATTGGAACTGAAAGTGAAGAAGAGAACAGCCAGCTTCTGGTGACACTTAGAAAGGGTTGAATGTGTTTGACTATTTTGTATGAGAGTTCTATTTATATATGTATGTATTTATTTTTCAAAGCTTGTATTTTAATATTTTATATGTTAGTATTTAAAAGTGTGAATATGTTTAATCAAACATAATCTGTCCTGATTGCTATTTAATTTGAAGACGATGGGTTTTAAGTGTCTCATTAAACTAATAAATATTAGGAGACCACTGAGTGCCAGGCACTGTGACAGAGGTGGGGGGGACGTGGGATGGGAGAGGGAGATACAAGCAATGAGACAGCCAGATCACTGTTAAAGTCACAGAAAGTATGTGCACATCTATTTTTGTACTTGTTTAAAAGAATGTCAGTTGTTATTTATTGAAACTATTTCATATTATATGGTCAACATTTTTATGTTGAAGCTTCCCTTGGACATTTTATGTCTTGCTTGTAAGGCATAATGCCTTGTTTGATGTTCATTATGCAATGTTTCTCTTTGTCTTGGAACAGAGTTAAAACTACTGTTACATTTTTACAAATGACCTGAAAATAAAAGTTTTGCAAAAAATAACACGCTTGGGTTTTGTTTTATTCTTCTTGATCTTTAATTCCTCCTGGCTGCCCCAGGTGTTGCACAGGTACTGTAGGTCACACCCAACTTTATGCCTGTTCCCAGCTGTTACTTCCCTTACATTTCTGTTACTCAGGGAGGAATATTTGATACACTACCCTCCCAACCACCTTCAGAATCCTAGTTTTATATAAAATATTGCTGTTTTTCACACTGACCAATTCATTATTCAAAATCAGTTCTTTATAAACTTGTGAATTTTTATCGATATTTAATAAGAGTTCCTATAAATGTTGTTGGTAAGTGGCTTTTCAAACAATTATGCAATTTTTTCCCTTTTATTGAGGCTGGGAGCAAAAGGTGGAAGAGTGAATCCTTCCTAAGAACTCAAACAATTTGCACTATTTAAAATAGCAGTAGAGGGGCCACCCCCGTGGTGGTGTAGGGGTTAAGTTCAGCACATGCTGCTTTGGCAGCACAGGTTTGAGGGTTCAGATCCCAGGTGTGGACATACACCACTCATCAGCCATGCTGTGGCGGAGACTCACATTATACAGGAGAGAAAGATTAGCAACAGATATTAGCTCAGGGCTAATCTTCCTCAGCAAAATAAATTAAAAAAATAATACAGCCAGCCCTGATGGCCTAGTCATTAAAGTTCGGTGACCTGGGTTCGCTTCTTGGTCACAGAACCACACCACCTGTCTGTCAGTTGCCATGCTGTGGCAGCAGCTCACACAGAAGAACTAGAAGGACTTACAACTACGATGTACAACCATGTACTGGGGCTTTGGGGAGAAAAAAAAAAAAAGAGAAAGATTGGCAAGAGATGGTAGGTCAGGGCTAATCTTTCCTTGCCAAATAAATAAACAAACAAATAAATAAATAAATAATCTACGGAGACAAATGCGTACTGTAAAGTAAAATACATGACAAAAATAGCATGAAGGACAGGTGGGGAGATAAATGGGTTTAGGATATAATGTTTCTTCAATTGTTAGAGAGAATATTAAGGAAATTGTAATGTAACAAGAACACATATTGCAATTTTTAGGGCAACTCCTAAGAAGGAAATGCAAAATTTTGGATTTAAAAATCTAAAAAAGAGATAAAATGGAATAAAAGAAAATACTTGAAGAATACAAAAGAAAGCAGAAATCAACGAGTAAAGGAACAAAATAACAGGACAGTGAGTGGAAGGACAAATCTTCCTTACAGAAGAATGCGTATTAATATAAGTAGAATCTCTCTCCTCCTGAAGATGGGGCTTAATTCCCCTCCTCATGTGAGTGTGGGCTGGGTTTTGTTACTTACTTCTGAAGAAGAGATTAGGAAAAGGGAAAAACAACAACATTACAATGGAGAAATCTGGCAGATACCACCTTAACTAAGTGATCAAGATTGTTATCACCAGTTCTGTCAGGTGAATATCATGTACTCCCTCCGTATGGTATGGTGAGAAGGGCACTTCATCTCCATGATAGTCTTCCCCGAAACCCATACCAGCAGTATAATCAGGAGAAAATCATCAAAAAAATCCAAATTGAGGAACATTCTACATGATATCTAACAAGCATTATTCAAAAGTGTCAGTCATGAAAAACAAGACAAGGCTGAGAATCTGTCACAGATCAGAGGAGACAAAGGAGAAGTGATGACTAAATGCAATGTGGTATTTGGGATTAGATCGTGGAATAGAAAAAAGACAGCAATGGAAAATTGGTGAAATCTGAATAAAGTTTAGTTACCACAATGTACCAATGCTAATTTCTTTAGGTTTGACAAACGTACTATAATTATGTAAGATGTCGACATTAGGAGATACTGGGCAAAAGGTCCAAAGGAACTCTCTGTACTGCATTTACAATTTTTTTGTAAATCTAAAATTATTACAAATTTAAAGTTTATTTAAAAAAAGAAAGGACAAATAGAATAGCAAGATAGTAGACTTAAATCTAACTTTATTAAGAATTACAGTAAATTTAAATTCAATAAACACTAAATAAAAGTCAAAAATTATCAAAGTGTATAAATAAAAAAATCTATACTGCTTAAAAGAGACACACTTTAAATATTAGAACACAACTTGAAATTAAAAGAATCGAAAGTGTTATATATATTAAAAAGATAAGAAATAACAAGTGTTGGAGAGGATATGGAGAAAAAGGAACCCTCATACACTGCTGGTGGGAATGTAAAATGTTGCAGCCACTATGGAAAACAATATGGAGATTTCTCAACAAATTAAAAATAGAAATACCATATGATCCAGCTATTCCACTTCTGAGTATTTTCCCAAAGAACATGAAAACACTAATTTGAAAAGATATATGCACCCCTATGTTCATTGCAGCATTATTCACAATAGTGAAGACTTGGAAGCAACCTAAGTGCCCATCAACGGATGAATGGTTAAAGATATATCTATACTATTTAGCCATAAAAAAAGATGAAATTGTGCCATTTGCAACAACATGGATGGACCTTGAGGGTATCATGCTAAGTGATATAAGTCAGACAGAGAAAGACAATTACTGTGTGACTTCACTCATATGTGGAAAATAAACAAACACATAGATACACAGAACAGATTGGTAGTTATCAGAGGGGAAAGGGTGGGGGGAGGGCAAAAGGAGTAAAGGGGCACATGTTTATGGTGACGGATGGCAACTAGACTTCTGGTCGTGAATACGATGCAGTCTGTATAGAAGTTGAAATATAATGATATACACCTGAAATTTATATAATATTATCAACCAATGTGACCTCAATTAAATACATAAATAAATAAATAAAAAGCGTTATATGATACAAAAACTAACTGAAAGAAACCTGGCATGGACATATTAATATCCATATTAATTACTTATTAATAATTATTAATCTATTATTAATATAAATTATTACCATATTGGTTAATAATTGACATATTAATTAAGGGCTAATTGATATATTAGGGCTAAAGGAAAGAAGTAGTCAGAGATAAAGAAGGCTGATTCAAAGTAAAAAGGGGTAATTGTACAAGTGACAAAATAATTCTAAAATTTTATAAATTTTGTAATGTACTATCAAAATATATAAGGCAAAATGGAGAGAAATTAAAGTAGCAACAGATGGAACCATAATCATTGTTATAGATTCTAACAAACTTCTTTCAATACTTAATAGGCAAAGCAGTAAAGAATCAATGACAGTATAGAAGAGTTAAGCAACATGATCAACCAAATTGGCATGAGTGACATATATGGACACTTCATCAAACAACAGCATAAATTACATTTGTTTTTCCAACACACAGGGAACATTTTGTAAAAGAGACTACATGTGGGACATAAAGAATGTATCCACAAATTCCACAAATTTCAAAATGTTGAAACGTTAGAGAAGACATTCTTTAGTCATCAAGTTTTTTTGATGACTTGTAATTTTTCTAGCTGAAATATGTATCCATACACTGTGTGTGATATGTTTGCTGTGGTTTATAACTCATCTCAACTTCCTAAATTTTGCTTCCACAATACAGGAAGCATGAAACAGTGTCATCATACTATTTTCATCCATTACAACCATATTTTCAGAGACATTTCCTCATTTCATATATTTATTTTTTGACATATTCGTTTGTAATTTTGGCTTTCCTGTATTTCTTTGGTTTACATTATATATAATGTAATTTAATTACTCATTACTACTTCCACAAAAGTTTAAAAAATAATACTAAAATGATGCAAATACAAAGTTTATATTGAAATCTATTCTTTTAAAAGCCTTGGAATCATGCCCAAATCTAATATATTGGACAGTGCTCAGTGTTAACTGAAACATTTCAAAATAATTATAAATTGTTGAAGTCATCAAGATGGCTTTACTACAGAACAGAAGAAAGACTAGCTGTGTTGCAGAAGGAAGTATGCAGTTTAGGTATGGAAGAACCTCACATTTGGAGTTTCTGTTTTAGCAACTATATCTTTTGCAAAACTGACCACAGTCCCTTGTATATTGTATATGCCTAATAAATGTCTTTTGAATTTAATATCTATTTTCCTCTCATTTTCTGCACATGCCCTGAATCTGTAGATTACCCCAGCCTTTCCATCCTCCCCATAATAGATAGCCAATAAAGGTCACAGTGTGATCTGTGCAAGAGGGCCATGGAAATACCTTGAGATACATCTAGAGGCTTCCCAGTGGAGGTAACATCCAAACTGGGTCCTGACAGACGAGCAGGATCCTACAGGCATATGGCCTCCAGTGTCCCAGCCCTGCCACCTCTTCCTGCTTGAGTCTCTCCTTTCTCCCTACTGACAGAGTGAGATCCAGCTACATGAGCCGTTTGCTGCTCCCAGTACTCATTCTGCTCTTTCCAATAGCCACGCCTTTGCTCACTTGGCCCTCTCTTGGAATGTCTTCCACACTTCAGTGTTTCCCATTTACCTGGAAAATTCCTCATCATCTTTAAGATTCACAGGAGTGAGCACCTCTTTCAAGGAAACCTATCTGACAATCTCTCAGAAACCCACTCTATAAGAGTTGGATTAGGTGCCCCGTCTCACTCCTAATACTTTGAGAATGGTTTACCATGGTATTTACCATACTTTTATTTATTTATTTTTTTGTGAGGAAGATCAGCCCTGAGCTAACATCCATGCCAATCCTCCTCTTTTTGCGGAGGAAGACTGGCCCTGAGCTAACATCTGTGCCCATCTTCCTCCACTTTATGTGGGGCACCACCACAGCATGGCCTGACAAGCGGTGCATCCGTGCGCGCCCGGAATCTGAACCCATGCCACCAGTAGCAGATCTAGCACACTTAACTGCTATGCCACAGGGGCAGCCCCTTTACCATACTTTTAAAAGAAATTTGATACGTTTATACATTGTAATATGATTGTCATAGTAGTGATAATTAGCACCTCTATCGTGTCACATAATTATCATTTCTTTTTAGTGTTTGGAATAATTAAGATCTACTCTCTTAATGAACTTGATG